TGCTAAGGAGTTGGTTCCCACTTATAGCGACCCTGTACAGGGTTTCCGAGGCTGTAAATCTTTATAGGAGCAGAAAGCCTCATCCTTCTCCTGTGAAACAGCTGGTAGTTTCAAACTGCTGACCTTGAGGTTCACAGCCCAATTTGTAACCACTACACTACCAGGGTTCCTAAGTATGACTATACATCTATCTTTAAGTGAGCTTAAGTTGGGAGGGCAACTAATGCAGATCTAAATGGTAATAGTAGAATGAGTTTCATTCTCTTAACTATTTTGCTTCCCATTCAGCTTTCTATATACTTCTAAGCAAAACGCTATGCATCCAAATATATTTAAAAATTAAAACAGAGGATAAGTAAGACAAATGCACATTCATCGGCTGCAAACCAGTTGAGATGCCCTTCTGTTCTTGAAGGCGGTTGTGGTGGTATGTCTTGGAGTTGGTTCTGACTCATAGTGACCCTGCATAGCATTTCTGAGAGTGTAAATCTTTACCGGAGCAAAAAGCCTCATGTTTCTTCCACAGAATGGCTAGTAGTTTCAAACTGCTGACCTTGAGATTAGCAGCCTGACTCGTAACCATAGGGCTGGCTAACAAGGCCAGCGTTGGGGTCCGAGAGACAAAGCTAGAGGAAATCATGGTGAGGTAGAGAAACAAACCAAATCATAGCCTAGAGAGAAAAGTGCAACACTCAGGTTGCGGTTGCATAACCAGGAGTTCAAACTCATAGGGATCAGTTCAGAGTGGGGACAGAGAGTTGATAAGCTGGTGGATTGTGGAAGTCTTGGCCAAATGTCAGATAATAATAGTCGGAATCAGGACCTATCATTATGAGGACAGCTAAGAGTGATTTAGGAGCATTGTCTTTCTCACATTTTGTATTGTGTTGTGTCAGTGACCCATAAGCCAGCCCAATAACAAGGCAGAATCACTTACGGATCCCAGTGGCAAGAGACAACAATAGAATTGACTAGCATTTTCCAATCTGGGTATCTGTTTTGGATAACTTCTTGCCATGCACTGTCTATCAGTAGTGCTTTTAGATACCACCTGTTGAGAAATATAATTCTATAAAGTAAAAGAAGAATTTGTACTTGTTTGACTATTTGGGAAAATGAAGAAGAAATAATTCCTTATATTTTTACTAGGATTCACTGATGATCTTAGTGGTGCCAAATGATTAAGTTAAAAATGATAAGTAGTTACCATGGAGAGGAGATGAGGAAAGTAACTAGCATTATGTAATACAAATAGGGACTACAGTGGTGAGATTTATGTTTAAATGTAGATTATCAGGCACAGATTCATATTGTTTATTTAATTTTCCATTTAATTGACTACTGAAATAGTCAGTAAATGTAGGTTACTGAAGTTGTGTCAAATTAGTTTATATTCTGTACTGCATGGAAGAAAATACTGAACAGTAAAAGTTTAACTTTTATGGAGTAAGTACCCAGGTTATAAATGTCTAACATATGGACAACTTTACTTGACTTTTAATTTATGTAAATTTACCCTCACTTTGAAAATAACTGAACCAATCCCTATTCACAACAATTTTTTTTATCACAATCATCTACGCTTGCTGCAGCTTTTAAATCATTTAAAATGTTTCAAGCTTTTTCTTGTATTAACCAAAGCAAAACCAGAATAACCGCCATCAAGTTGATTCCAACTCACAAGGACCCTACGTAGCATTTCCAAAACTAAATTCTTATGTAAGCAGACAGCCTCATTTTTCTCCCAAGTTGCCACTGGTGGGTTTGAACTGCTAACCTTGTAGTTAGCAGCCCAATGCCTTACTCACAACAGTACTAGGGTTCCTTGCACTAAAAGTAAAGGCAAATAAGAATTGTTTGCACCAGTTCCAACTTACCTATAAGTTCAACTTAAAGTTGAACTGTAGACTGCACACATCATTTTAATTAAGACATCAAATTTGCTAATATTTCTTGAAAATCTGAAGTTTACAATTTTAATCCTTTAAAAAAAGCTATTTTCTGAACCTGCTCTGTGTGTTTTTAAATGCTCTTAATACTACAGATAGTTTGGTATGAAAAAAATGCTAGCGCTATCACCACGGTCTGTTGGTATGATGAAAGATTCAAGACATGAATGAATTTGATTTTGACTTTTTAAAAAAATTTTATTTTCTAAATTTTAATTGGTATAAAAGCAACTGGGAAATACACTATCCAACAGATGTAGCAAAAGAAGGAAGGTAATCCACATATAGATGAAAAGGTCAAGATCATTATATACAATTGAATATTGAGTGTCTTATATGGATCAAATTGACTACTAAAGTGTCATCTCTGAAGATTATTACCTTTTGTACTAAAACTTATGGATACTTAAAAGATATATTTTTATATCAGCTGACAGTTTCTTTAGGTAACCCCTAGAAATATAAGCAAAAGTTGTCTTTTATCATTTTAAACCTATTACGTCTGCTAATTAAGGAACTCTGATAGTGTAGTGGTTACAAGTTGGGCTGCAGTTATAAACTATCTTCAACTTCAAGGTCAGCAGTTCTAAACTATCAGCTTTTCTATGGAAGAAAGATGAGGCTTTCTGCTCCCTTAAAGACTTACAACCTCAGAAACCCTATACAGGGTCACTACAAGTCAGAATCAACTCCACAGCACACCACCACCATCACTCTGGTAGTATAGTGGTTACGAGTCGGGCTGCTTACCTCAAGGTCAGTAATTCGAAACTACCAGCTGTTCCATGGGAGAAAGATGAGGCTTTCTGCTCCCTTAAACATTCACACACTTGGAAACTGTAAGTAGGGTTGCTATGAGTCAGAACCAACTCCACGGGGCACACCACACCACCACCACCATTTCTGATAATTAAGGAGCCGTCGTATCATAGTTGATTACAAACCGGTGGTTTGAATCTATCAGCTGCTCCCTGAGAAAAAAGATGAGGCTTTCTGCTCCCATAAAGATTTGCAGCCTCAGAAACCCTATTTGTTGTTGTTATGTGCCATAGAGTAGGTTTCAACTCATATTGACCCTGTACAGGGTTTCCAAGACCTATACATGGTGGTTATGAGTCGGAACCAACTGTGTGGCACGAAACAGCCCCCTCTTTTGCTAATTATATTCTCTCATTGAACATTTTCCCCTAGAGATGCAAATAAAGATTTGTAAATAATGTGTTCATATGTAAATATGAAAATATGATATATGATAATAAGCACCCACTTTCTAAATTATTTTCCTTCTTCATTCTAAAAGACAATGACTTTCAGAAATAAATACGAATATGGTCTTGGGTGGTATTATTTGAATAAAATTTGTAATGGCCAAATTCTACCATATATCAGGGATAACGTGGTCACTGGATGCATTCTTTGGATAGTATGGCCAGTGGAATACTGTAGAATTTGATTTCTGCATTTTCAGGGTCAGAGATATTTATGATTCTAAGTAGCACCAAGTGTGGCTGTTAAAGGTAAAAAAAAAAAAAAAACCCCAGCAGGAGCACGGTTCCAACTGCTTAGTAAACAATTGTAGAAAGATGTTTATTAAAGCTGGCTCTCAAGTGACAGATAAATGCATAGTTCTATTATGCATGCTAAATTTAGCATGCTGCAAGCTTAAAAAGCAGATAGATCAAAACAAGAGAGATTTTCAAAAATCATAAAGACAAAATACAGATGTGTCAGTAAGTGACAAGAAAATAATTTTGCCTTAAAACGGATTCTCCTTCCTGTCCCCCAAAGTACATGTAACCACAATTTATAAAGCAAAATTAAAAGCAATTTGCAACAATTCCATTACTTAACATACATGGCATTACGCTTAAAAACAACATTTAAATGGACTGTCTTTAAACTCAGATCTGACTGATTCCCTCTACTATGAACAAAAAACTGCTCCACATAATTATTGATGGATAATTCTTATTTATTAATATGCAATGTTTAATTCTTTAAAAAAAAACAACAAAAATGTACACACACAAGCCACTAAACAGATTCTTCCATGCACGACTTTTTCTATCTCACAAGGTGCCACTGCATGATTTTTAGTGGAGTCCACTTGCTCAGGGTGGGCAAATGTGTTTTATTTTCGTTGTCTTGAGCCATATTTACAGAAAGATGTATAAATATTGCAGATGGTGGGCTGTGCAACCTTCGCATGATTAAAGCTCCAGTCCCTTGTTCTTTGTAGGGCTTGGTGTAAATGTCAATAAATTTGTGAGTTCACCCAACTGTGCCTCTTAACCTTTGTTCCCAAAGGTGAAGGGCAGGATTTTTAATCAAGTAGCAATTTATCTTTAATTAGGAAAACATAATTAGATATTATCACTTAATTGCAATTACTGGTTGGAGAAAGCCACATTTCACAAGTAGTGACCCATGCTGGATTATTGTCCTCCTGTTACTGGATTTTGCATCTGTATTTATATTTGGCAGGCAGCCAATAAAAATTGCAAGGTAATCACCATGTTTTTCTTTAGTCCAAGTGTCAAAGTCACCAACTCCATAGCTGATTAACAAACCAAGAGATACTTGCTGTGCCACATCTTGGTTATAACTGTTTCCTGCTTAGAAGTCAAGTACAGATCAAAGTAATTGTATAGAAAACAAAACAAAACTCAAACATGTGAAGTAGGTTAGAGAACTATTCCACATTTCATTTCTGGTACAGTTAAAAACAGTTTAATGTCTCAAGGCACCACTATGGTTGAACATCAGATACACAGGAAATCATCTAATCTTTGACTATGCTGTAAAGTCAGTAAATAGCTTGTGCAATTGTGAAAAGCAATCTCTAGAGGACTGTTAGATATACTGTAGGCACGTGTATTATAATACAAATAGAAAACAATGAGTCCTAGAAAAAGCATGTTGAGCACCGTTGTGGCATTGTTTATATTTCTTTACCTAATACTACGTAAACCTTACATTTACAAAAGGAAAGACTAACTGTTTAAAGTTACACTCAGGGTTGCTTTTTGTGCTATTGCCAAGTAAGTGAATCTAGTTCGTAAGTGTATTTTTAGAAGTAGTTGGGTCTGGATCAGCCTCTGTTGCGCTGGTAGATTCATTCAAGTGTGAATTCAAGTTTTCTGATGTTAGGTGGGAAGACTTGTAGACTATCTCGTTGAAGTCAGACCTGATGCAAACCAAAGGAGGGTCATTCAATGGGTCTTCCACTGAAACCTGGGTATTTTCTCTAGTGATTCCCATGTCTTTGCTATGCTCTGATGGGGATTTTCTTTTCATGCGGGTGTAAGTTTTGTCTTGGTTCTCCATGCCTTGCTCATTTTTCAAAAACCGTCCAAAGAACCAGATGAAGAATCCAAACCACACAAAAGCAATCAAACTTGGAACAAAGGCCAGACACTTGACATCAAGGCTAGCCCCTATGTACCTGCTGTGTAAGAACATGTCTCCCTCAACGTATGTTTTATTAGTCTGAGGGTTGGTGTGATTAGACCTCCATTCCCAGGATAGCTTGGTTCTGTTCAAATCCTTTAAACTTTCAGAGTCTTTCACTGTATAAATCTTCTGTCCTGGGCCAATATATTGCCCATATTCATGAGGTTTATAAAATATCTGGTTCTTCCACATATTAAGATCCAAAATTAAGACGAGAAAGATGATTCCATAATTAAACCATTTACCTGCATTAAAATAGAAATACTGCATTAATCACAGAGCCATAAATTGCAATAGGATTTTCTCCACTAAAATGGATATAACAGTATTATAGTATAAATTATTAATGCTTTAGATATGTTAACAATTAATTTTTTGAGACTAATCTCTTGCCATTAAGTGGATTGGTAAAGGGAATTTACTAAATGGATTCTGGGCATATGAAAATGTACCTGTAGGTCCCCAAAGCCAGTTAATTTATGGTATATAGACTAACAAGATTAGGTCTCCTTGTTTTAAAAGCACTATAGCTACAGTCAAATTTGGTTCTATGTAGATTATTCTCTTAGAACATTTCAATTAATGTGAAAACAAAGTTCTAATGAAATTCTCAGGAAAGTCCAATGTCTGATTGAACATCTCTTACAGTTTTATAATTATATCTGGGCAAGAAATAAATCATTTTGCAATATAAGCACAGCAGTATATCAATTGAATTCACATTGCATCTTGTAGGTGACCTGTTGATTAAACCATTAGTTGATGTAATTCTGATCAATAATCCTTGAACATTCATTTCAAGACTTTAAAAATAATCACATCAGATTCTCATTGAACAGAATGCATTTATCAGACATATAAATATAACCAAATCTAATGAATTGCTTTAGAAGACATCTTTTGGAGAGATTGTAACTAATACAATTTCTTTGTGGTATTTAAAATCTTGTATAAGTATGATACTACTTTGTGATCTATTATCTAGGGCTATTCTTATATCTGCAAATTGGAAAATGTGGAAAAATTACTTTCAAGGGATACTAGACTAGACTCCATTATAACTTTTATTATAATAATAATTCACTTCAAATTGTATAGTATCAAGTATAGTACCATAATAATATTGAAATGCCTACCTTATAGGTTTGTTGTAGCTAACTAGATGATACAGTAATGGTTTCTTAAAAGCTTTAGTTATAATTGTTATACATATCATGCCAAAATTGTTTTCTTTTGTATTTGAAGAAAACGGATGGTATTGAACATTAAGCTGCTGCTTCACATGATTATAGAAATTTTGTGACAGCAGAGAGATAGGATTTTGGACACACATATAAAACCAAGAATTATAAAAATACGTTTTAGTATGTACTATACTATAATACATAGCTATATAAAAAAATAAAGCTCTGCGAGGAGTTTAGTGTTTTATTATCATAATTATTGTTGTTGTTAGGTGTCATTGAGTCAGTACTAACTCATAGCAGCCATATGCACAACAAAATGGAACACTGCCTGGTCCTGCACCAACCTCACAACTGTTGCTACGTTTGAAACCATTGTTGCTGCTACCGCGCCAATCCATCTCAGTGGAGGGGAACTGGACTGGGCAGTGTTTCGTTCTGTTGTGCACAGGGTCACTATGAGTCGGTACTGACTTGATGGCACCTAACACCAACAATAAAAACAATGGTGATGATAAAATACTAAACTCACAAAGGTCTATTTTTTATATAGCTTTAGGAGTTCTGGTGTGGCGCTGTGGGCTAATGTGTCAGACTGCAAAGTTGTTTGAACTGCAAGGTCGGTGGTTCAAGCTCACCAGCTGCTCCTTGGGAACCCTAGACAGAGTCAATATGGGTCGGAATTGACTCGACGGCACTTAACAACAACAGTATATATTCAAATCTCTAATATATGTAAGGTTGAAGGATTTTTATCTTGACACCCCAACTTACTAGTTATGTGATCTTGGCCTACTTGGTTAAATTCTCCAGCATCTTTATTTGCAGAAAACAATACTAGATTCTTATTATTGATGAGGTTACTAGACATTAAGCACAGTGCCCAGTACATAACAGGGGCTTAATTGTTGTTGCTACTGTTACCATCAAACCCATGATCATTTCTTTCTTTGTGTGGAATTCTGTAACTTATGTCTGAAGAGAATCTATTTTAAGAATACGAATGGAAAGTATCACTCAGCTAACACTGAAATGGTTTAACTAATAAAATACTCGTTGCTGTCCAATTGATTAGGACTCATAGCAACCCTATAGGATGGAACAGAACGGCCACATAGAAGCACATCAGTACATCTTTTTTCTCATGGAGCAACTGGTCATTTCACACCACTGAATTTTTGGTTTGAAGCCGAGAATTTAACCACTGCATCACTAGAGCTCATCTAAATTCAGCTATTCGGACTTTGTCATATTTATAATGGAAGTTCATGGAGTCCTGGGGTGGTGCTGGGGGCTAATGAGCTGGACTTCAAGGTCAGTTTGAACTACAAGGTCAGCGGTTCAACCAGAAACCCTATGTAGGGTCACTATGAGTTGGAACTGACTCGATAGCACTTAACAACAACAACAATGGAAGTTCCTGCCTGAATGATTAATTTTGCACATCCAAATGAGAAAGTCAGAACAGTGGGAAGTTGTTTCCAGATACAATAAAATATTAATACCATCTGACACAATTATGTTCAAATCATTCCTACCCTCTTAGGGATTCAAAACAGATTCATATCAAGAACTAATCATAAGGCAAAATAAAGGCACTCTAGCCAGAGAAAAAACAGACTCAAAGGTGCGCATCATTACTAAATATTTATTGTGATTATAAGAGCCTTTGTGAAGATATTGACAGAGCTGAGGACATGTGTTTCTGTCTTCCAGGGAGCAATTCATCATCTTGTTGGGGAAACTGGACAGAGGTATCAAAAGATAAATAATCATATGAGGCCACATTTGAAAGCTGCTAAATGAGTGGTCTACAACAGAAATGCATAAAAGTGAGCTGCTGAGAAAACAGAAAGAAGACAAAAAGCAAACCAAGACCAGTTTTGTGCATAAAATATTTTTGGGGAAGTGGTTCTTGAAGGCAAACATGATAGAAGACATTTGGAAATGTTTTTGCTTCTTTTAGTTTATGTTTTTATTATGCTACAGATAAAATAGCACACAGAAAAATATTTAGTGATGTGGAAGAGAGGAGCTGAGAGCAGAGAAGGAAAAGAAGGGAGACTATTGTAGACAAAGACAGAAGAAGGATGAGATGGGTGCAATGATAAAATTCAGAGACTCTTATCCAGTATTAAAGAGGCACTCGTTTGTACCTTCCAGAGCAAAAGTAAGTTTAAAAAACAAAAACAAAACAAGACAGAGAGAGAGCTTTGGAAGCTTTTCTTTGTTAGGAGATTCATATTTACTCTCCTGTAAACTGAATGTGTTAAAAATCCAAGCTGGGTGCTGAGAAGAAGAGATCTTTAGCTTGTATAATAGTCTACCACATTCTTGACCCATATAAGTCCCTTGGAGAAATATGTAACCCTCTCTATATCTTTTCTTAGAAGTTCATGAATGGGGAAGTCCCTCATAAAGAGTTCTTTGTTTCTATGGTAACAGGGCATCAGAAACTGAAGATAAACAGCATTACACAAACCAGGAGGAAGAAAGATGAATGCTCAGGGAGCCTGAAGGAAGGAGCTTCTCTGATGGGAAAAAAGGCTCAGTTGCCATTTCTCCTAGGATTTTGACCTATTGACCTTGAGGTTAGCAGCATAAAGCTTAGCCTACTGCACCACCAAGTATCCTTTGAGTGTTAATAAACAAAGAAAAAATGATAATTAAAGCCAAGAATAGAAACAAAAGCTTAGGAGCACTGAGAAGAATAGGAGAAGATTTTTTCTACCATGTAACTTTAATAGCACTGGACTATCAACACTCGCAGAAGCAGCAGTCAAGAGATCAGACGACATATTGCATTGGGCAAATCTGCTGCACCGGAACTTTTCAAAGTATTGAAGAGCAGAGATGTCAGCTTGAGGACTAAGGTGCGCCTGACCCAAGCCATGGTATTTTTAATAACCTCATATGGATGCGAAAGCTGGACAGTGAATAAGGAAGAGTGTAGAGGAATTGATGCCTTTGAGTGGTGGTGTTGGAGGAGAATACTGAAAGTGCCATGGACTTCCAAAAGAACCAATAGATCTGTTTTGGAAGAAGTGCAACCAGAGTGCTCCTTGGAGGCCAAGATGGCTAAGCTTCGTCTCTCATACTTTGGACATATTGTCCGGAGAGAACAGTCGTTGGAGAGGGATGTCATGTTGGGTAAGGTGGAGGGTCAGAGAAAAAGAGGAAGACCCCTAACGAGATGGATCAGCCAGGTGGCATCACTGATGGACTCAAGTGTGGCAGCGGTAGTGAGGTTGGCCCAGGATCGGACATTGTTTTGTTCTGCTGTGCATGGGGTCGCTTTGAGTCGATTCTGACTCGATGGCACCTGATAACAACGACAACAACAACTAACCAAAGGGCTGATAGTTCAAATCCACCAGCTGCTTCTTGGAAACCCTATATAGAGTTGATAAGAGTTGGAAACAATGGCACTTAATAACAACTTTAACAATTCTTGGTCTGTTTGACCACTAAACGTTCACTCTAAAGAATCACTTTATGCTGATTCATTTTTCTCAGGTGATCTTAAATCTGCATATTTAGCTTAGATAAGGGAGGAGCAAATTAAATCATGTTGCCTGACATCAGTTAATGGTTATCATCATCTCCTCTAATGTATCTGTATGGATTTTTGAGGAGATACTAATTAAGTGACAAAACCTATAGGCTGGAATCAGCCATTGGAGATCTCATCCTAACCATGTTGTTAAGTGCCCTCAAGTTAGTTCTGTCTCATAGCAACCCTGTCAAGGGTTTCTGAGAAGTGGATGGTGAGTTTGAACCTCCGACCTTGCATTTCAAACTGACCTCGTGGTCCAGCGCATTATCCCACAGCACCACTCCAGGATTCTTAACCATAGACTTGAATAACATGGCCTTGAGTAATCTGTTAAACCTATCTAAATCTCAATGATTTTATTTTCAAATTGGGGAAACTGAATAGATGCCTTTCTTTGATTCTGTCCTTCTCCCCTCAAATCCTGTTACTTACTGTGTGAATACAATTTGTTTTCCATGTGAAATGGAAAATAATATCAGTGTGACTACTTCAAATGAATACTGTG